AATCAAACGTAAATATTTCATGACTTCTCATGTACATGGCGTTTGCAAATTAATCTCAAACAAACAAAAAACCCAACTTATATATTACCCGACATGCACAGATATACACGAGAATTTCAAGCAATTTTTTTTTTTTTTTTTCAAGAGAAATATCCTCTTTTATAGATTCCTCTTTAGAGCATAATTATTTCTGCTTCCCACCGGATTAAGTATTTCGTCTTCCTCAAAAGTACAAGGCCTATCCTCATCAATTTTTCCAATCTTCCCCAACCAAACACTATAGCTCTCCACCTGATCTTGTGATCTCACTAGTCTTTGCCTTTCCAAAAGATCATCAAACGCCACCCGTTTATTCATCTCCGCTTTCTTATTCTTCGACATCATTCTCAAAAGCTGCGCCTTCAAATGTTCGTCGCCGGACGACTTTACACCAACGTTCCGGGGAAAGCCTGAGAGTGGAGCAGAATGGCCAGCCACAACTTGACCACGATCCAGCTTACCCACACAATTCTCCATGCTCCTCACGTAGAAGTCTCTAGCTTTGCTTAGAATCCTGATTGGTGTCAAAATATAACGCTTCAACTTGCTATGCTCGTTTATCCCTTCGCATCTTCTCATGTTTACTTGCTCATGAAGATATGGATATATGATCATCGAGGAAATGGAATATAAAGTTTCCTTCGTGATGGCTGTGATCTGATAAGAATAAGGAACAAATCATTGTGAATATAAAATATGTGGGGTTTTTTTGGATGAATTTGGTGATTTTTGGACTTTTTCCTTGGAAGTAGCAAGGAATAGGAAGCTGGAGACGGCACGCGGACGGAGAGGAATGTTAACGTGGCTGTTTGGAATTGTTTTTTTTTTTTAATGCTTGGGAAATGGTTTAACGAGGCTAACAAAGTTGCAAAATAATGAAAATTTTGTGTCCCTTTCTCCCTTAGTTGTCGACCAAAAACAACATAAGATAAAGTTTTAAGATAAAACTTTCAATCTTTGACACTATATATCACTAGAACGGTTAAAAATAACAGCCTCTGCAAAATTCCAGATGAAACAACAAAAGGAAATCCACTCACAAATTAATTTAGACACACCAAGAACAACCAACCAACAAAGAACAATTCGGAATAACCCTAGCACTTTATTCTTCATTCAATCATGAACACAATCCTTTGTACAAGCTTTTTCTCCTTGAACAGACTCAAGACCCACCCTCTCTCTAGAGACTCTTTATCTCTCTATGACCGAACCGAAAGATCTCTCTCTAGATAACAGATCTAATTCTCTTATCTATTTACAATATTACAACTTGAACCATTAAGCTCCTAACCGAGAGTCAAGAAACTAATCCTATTGATTAATCCAAAACTAACTCTATTAGCCTAAGCTTAATCTGTTGTAACAAATTAGACCACGTGTCTTGGTGTCCTTTGTCCTCTGTGTTGAGTCAGTAAAATCCTACCACATATCAATCGAACTGACATATGAAATTATATTGGACGAATCCTTTTCTTTTACACTCTCAAACCTTTGATAGTTGAAAGCTATAAATAAATGAATAAAGTCATGAGGGATTATAGCTACAGAAATTCTGCGGGAAATTAAACTAAACACTTTGTCCGTTCTGGACACTTGAATTAACGTTAGAACGAGTTGGTAGCATGATTTGAGTTGAGATGTGATTTCATATGAGAGCTTTTTACTATAACAAAAAAATCAGATGTGACTGTTTCTAAGAGCTTTTTACTATAGCAAAACTCAAATTTTAAACTCGAATCGGTGAAATGAATGAGCCATTAATATTCTATTGTACGTTTTATAATAGTTGTAGTGGAAATATGAAAATACTAGAGAATGGATATTGGGTTTCGTGAGCATTTCCAAGCGGTTTTGTTCCTCATGTAAAAGACCATGAAAGAACAAATTGGTTTATATTGTTTTGCATTTCTCTTGTGTGGTAACATAAGGATTTGGGTTTAGGACCCGTTTCGATTGGCTTAAAAAAAGCTGTTTTTGATTTATTTAGTTTAAAAGTCATTTTTGAATCTGTTTAAATGGACAATTTAAAGTGCTTTTAATTTTTTAAGCACTTTTAGAACAAACCATCTCCTTAGTGTTTATGAAAAAAGTATTTATGAAAAGTTTTTTTAATCTTTCATTTGTGAACAACAAATTAAATATTCCATTCATAACCTTTTATTACATTACTTTTTATAACAATAAATATTTTTGTCTTTTTTACCCAAACAGTTCAAAAGCTCTTCTTAAGTATAAAAGTACTTTTTCAGACAATATTTAAATACTAATTAAAAAGTCTCAACTTATATTTATATTCTTTTACTACTTAAAAATATAAACACAAACTACCTCAAACGGACCTTAGCTTCAAATTAGTTAGAACTGCCATATTTCTTTTGATTTGTTATTTTTTGCATGACTTGTGTTCGAGAGGGGAAGAAAGTGTAGCATAATTTTGACAAAGGGGTTTGATATAGTACCCAAGTTTTGTTTGCTAATTGACTTTGTAATATATAGGTCAAGACACTACACATCTGAATAAAGGTGGTAAATTATATACCTTCCAAAAAAAAAAAAAAACAAAAATCCAATAACTCAATTTGAATTAGCAATTGTTAACTTACGGGGATAGGCTTAAAAGGATCATAAATTAACAAACTTTTGTACATTGATTATTCCGATAATTTTAGGGCCGGTTTAGTTCGCTGGTTCGAGTTGAGATGTGACTTTATGTTAGAGCTTTTTACTGTAGTAAAAAAGTTTAATGTGACTGTTTTTGAGGACTTTTTACTGTAATAAAATTTAAATGAACGGGACATTAAAATGAAGAGAGTAGTATTTCAAAATGGTAGAGACTATAGCTTTAAAGTTTAATATGATGTAAGAAAATTCTCTTTTATCACCATGGACTATACAATGAAGATGTGATATAGAGGGTGGACGTACGTAATTTCTCACAAGCAGAAGTAATTTGAAACCGATTTTAGCTTCCAACGACTTTTTCGCCTCTCAGTGACCAGAGATTCTTATCCATCATAAATGCTAATTAATTATGACTTGGAAATTTGAAGTCCTCCTTAAGGAATTGACCTTTATGATAATTTAAGGCCACGTTCTCAAAATTAAATGTTTCGGCTATTGATGGCCATTTATTTATTCTTTTTTGTTTTTGTTAATAGGCCATTTATTTATTCAAAAGGCTATGTTATGAATCTGGACAAAACACCTATCAGCCAGAAAGTGGGGGAGAAAAAAAAAATTCTGAAATCAAGTTTATTTTTTTTGGGTTAAAAAAAATACTGGTCAGATAAGAAAATGATTACTTGGAATGAAATTACATGGACTAATAGGTCCCATGCCCTTGACTACGTACATATCCTCCATACTATTACCACATGTTTGTCATGAACTCCATTAGAGTCTAGAAAGTGCCCCCCAGTCGCACCACCAGCCTCTTGTCGGAGATGCAATGGGCTAGCCACCAATTATCTGGTGCGCACGTGACCAGATCATGTTCTCTATACTTCATTAATTCATTATAATCTCGTTCATTTAATCGATTTAAGTTTAAATTTTGAGTTTTACTGCAGTAAAAAATTCTCAAAAACAGTCATATTTAATTTTTTTACTATAATAAAAAACTCTCATATAAAATTACATCTAAACTCAAATTAAAAACTTGAATCAGGGAACTAAACAGATCTATGTATATGGTGCTAGCTACCTTATCCATATCTATGATGCAAATTTACACCCATATGCCTGGCCCATTAGCAAAGTAATACATCTGATTCATCTTATTTTATAAGTTCTAAGTACTTTCTCAACTTTTATTTTCATTTCCATTATAAAAAAGAAAACATTATGCCACACAAGACACAAGGATATGAGCCATAATTGTTTTTCCGCTCAACAAGATGGAAAATATTGGATTAGAGAAAAAAAAAAAAGATGGAAAATATTGAAGTCATCTTGCCCCATCGACATCTCCATCAGATAAAAAAGAAATTATAGGGTCAATTAATAGAAGGAAAAGGGTCTAATTCAATTCTACTCTCAAATACGATCATGGATCTAATTATCAAATCTGAGCGTATATCGAAAGGAGAAGAAGAAAAAATATTCGGACAGTGGCACTGCCCCGTTGATGGTGGGTTATGAGCCACAGTTGTTAAAGTCCATCCACACTCTATTACTTATTATGATCACTGCGCTGTGTCTCATTTTCTGTTTCTTTATTATTTGTGATGCAGTAAACGACAAACAAGATTAAAATGTACTGTAAAGTATAGAAAGGGCCAAATATTACACCTAATTACTAATGGCACTGGTTCAGTTCAGTTGAAAGTGAATTAAATTTAAAATCATGTTAGTAAGTAGTAAGCATACAGTTTAAATTATATTTCTCGTTTAAATTGAATTAAATTGTCTAACTTAAAATTTAAGTTTCCCTTCATTTCAATAGTTCAAACTATTTTTGAACAAAAAATCTCTATTCTCTATACTTTTTACACATACCAAACACAAACTCAGATTTTATTTCCCATTTAGTTTTAAACTTTAACTGTCAATCTAAACGTTAATTCTGACTACAATTTAAACTATACAGTTCGAATTTTTCTGTTCAAATTAACACAATTTGAACTAATAAACCAAAAAAGGCATAATTAAATCAAAATAAACAATACAAAAGATACAGTATCAAAAAAGGTTAAATCCTACACCTAATTATGAATAAAATCAAGTTCTCAGTTGTCTAATAAGGTCGGTGATCACTGCTAATAAATTATCAGATCATCGTTCCTCACACATAAGCGCTGCTGCATCTGAATTTTTCTCGAATAAAAAAAAAAGGAAAAACATATGTTTTGTAATTGTCATCACCCTAAAATCCCTGTTCTTTCGCCAAAAACAAAGAGGGAAAAACAAATTAAAAGAACAGTCAATCTAAATTTCATGAACAATAACAAACTATGGCTAAAAAATCTCGTTGATATGATTCATTAATCATCATCATCTTCATACAAGAAAAGCTAAAAAGCAAGAAAAAGCACATTTTTGGCTTTTTATAGGAGGCAATCCGAAACGGTTCCAAAAGCGCAGCTTAGAAGATGTGAAAGGAACACAGAATCGGCATATTGAAAAGGACAAACAGGGGGAAAAAAAAAAGAAGAAAAAAACAGGGATGAATCTGTCAACATATTTATATATGCAAACAAGAGATATTTTTTATATAGAGATTTTATTGGCGATCAAGAGATGCTACGCTTGCCGGGAAGATCGGCGACCTTAAGAGTCTTGTCGATGAGCTTGCGAGCTTTTCTGCTTCGGATCTCGACCTTGATGCTCGAGCTCTTGTCCATCTTTATGTACGTCTTCTTCGACTTCTTCAGCGCTTTCACCTTCGATTTGATCGATTCGACCAGGTTCTCTAGCTGGTTCGCCATCAGAGTTCGTTGAATTTTACTAATTTCTCAGCTAAGAAATCCAGAGAACGAGAGAAGAAAGAACGGAGTTTGGATTGTTTACTGTCTTCAATGAGAAGAAGTGAGGTTCGCCCTTTGGAGTTTTTCAACTTCGTTTTTGCTCTCTGAAGTCTGCGGTTTTTCAGATCCCACACACAATCCACGTAATCCCGTTATATTGACTTGTGTGTCCCAATGACCCTTTGTTTTGTACATAATCACAGGATTGCCACAGCTGCCTTTTTTTGACATTTTCACCTACTCAATAGTCAATACTATTTTTTTTTTTTGATTCCTTGCGGTGGAACCAAAAAGTCCATCGGTGAAAATTTGTTTTTTTTAATTGTTTGATTAGTTTTTTAACGGAATTTGTGTAGTTTCGTATTAAAAATTTATAATTTATCATACAAAATTATTTTTGTTGTAAATTTTATAGTTGAAAAAATAATTTAACAGTAAAAATATTGCTCCATCAGTAGAGCACTTTTTAGGTTCATTATAAAAAATCCATTTTTTTCCCTAAAAAAGATAAATAATAGCCAATATCTTTTACTCTTCTTGTCTATTGTAATCCCAAATTCTAAAATAATAAATACATTCCTTAAATGCCGATTACTCTTCGTTCAAGTAATTTGCATGGAACCTTTTCTGAAGAAACATTTTCTGTGCCACTTGGACTTGGCACAAATAAATTTGTTCTTTTCTTCTTTGTTCTTTAAAAAAAATAAAAAAAATAACCCCAAAAAAAATAACAGTGTAAAAAAATAAGAGTGTATTTAGTAGATAGATCTAGAATCATGATTTTAGATAATGGTTCAGAATCAGTGTTTATTTACAGTGATTCTGAATTATGATTTTCAATCATGATTCTGAATCAATGTTTAGTTTGGATGATTCTGAATCATGATTTAAAATATGATGTGATGTTTTAAATTAACTCAAATCATAATTTTAAAACTATCATTCTCTTGATTCAAGATGATTCAAACCTATAATTTTGAATCATAATTTCAGATTCATAATTTAAACTTAAAATCATAAATTATGATTCTGATTATAAAATTATAATTAGAATCACTCTAATTTAAACCTTCATATTAAATAAACCCTAAGATGTTTGGGGGTAAAACGCTTCTTTTGTTCATGGATTTCAAAAACGTTGACGTGTCATGATTGATGATTATCTCATGATGAAGTGACACGTACATAAGTGTACTTTACCGTCCGCAGTGAATTCAGTTCCAAAGTTTTGTCTATTTTGACTAGGACCTGCACCATAGGTCGAGAGTCGTTACTACTAGAGAGTTGGTATTGAAGATGCATCCGTAAAGGAGGGACGGTTTTGTTATTTAACTAATGAGCTGGGGGTAATTCAGTACTTTGGTCAAACTGGACTATTTTCTCTCAGGAGGAGCAATAACGTTCACTAAAACTGCTATCGTTTTCATCCGCACTTAATGTGGCACGCTCTTCGTTGAAAACAGATTTAGTTGGTAGCAAAAGTGTCGTTGCAGAATATTTTAAATTAAATTATGAAGCAAGTTCAAACCTCAACGAATGATCCATTTTTGCAAAATATAAGGCTTCGTTCACTTCGTAAATTTGAGTTTTCAATTCGAGTTGAGATGTGACATTTTATAATAACTTTTTACTGTAGAAGAAAAAATTAAATGTGACATTTTTTGAGAATTTTTTACTGTAAAAATCTAGAACTGAAAACTCAAATCGGTAAAATAAACGAGACATAAAAAACTGTTGATTGAGGTCCTCGCTTAACCAATATCTTTTTACGATTTTGTTTTTGTACCTCGTGGTCTTTTAAAAAAAAAAAAAACACAAAACAAAAAACAGCCGTTAAAATATTGTTTTGAACGTTCGTTAAAATATTGTAATTTTTTATTTTTAAAAGTCAAACAGCCGTATTAAGGGAAAAAGGAAAATGACAATGCGGATGAACTCATTAGTCATACGGCATCTCTTTCTAATGGGAAACGCCATTGCACTTCCGCTACCTTTTATTTATTTTGCGTAAAACTTAAGATACCATTTTGTTCCACTTACTTTTGGATCATCTTGGTTTGTTTGACGCTCTTAGTTTTGACGTTTTGACATCTGAGAACCAACAAAAATCCACGAAGACCCAAAAAAGAAAAGGTGAAATTTTGACCATTCAAATGGTGGCAGAAAATTTCTATTTTGATAGCTGGTTTTTAAAGAATGCAAATCAAACAAAAACCCTGTTCCTCTCAAATTAGTTTGCATTATTTTTTAGATTTTAGACTTCGTTTTATGACCAACTTCTGTAAAAAAAAAATTCAAGAACCTAGATTCTGGGTTTAGAAAATGATGACCAAGAAAATCGAAAAGAAAAACCCATTGGCTAATGTCATTACACGCATATTCTGATAATCACTCCTAAACTCAGCAACCGCAAAATTGTTTTGTTCATTATGCTAGTCACAAATAAGTGGCCCTAAACTCCTTAATCACCAATTACTAAGGAGACGTTTAGTTCATGGATTAAAATCATGTGATTAAAATCATTTTTGATTTACGTGTATTTTTTGTGAGAGAAAATACTGTAACCAACCATGAACCATGATTCAAATCATAGTTTGAATCCTCCAACTAAACGTCCCCTGACCAAGAAAATCGAAAAGAAAAACCCATTGGCTAATGTCATTACACGCACATTCTGATAATCACTCCTAAACTCAGCAACCACAAAATTGTTTTGTTCATTATGCTAGTCACAAATAAGTGGCCCCAAACTCCTTAATCACCAATTACTAACTCATCAAAGTATTGATCAGAGTAATCCAGTCATTAGGAATTGTATTACTTCCAAGACCATACAAGTCAGCATCTACCACCTAGCAGCCATATCTACTGTTTCAGATCATTTTCTTTAATTTATTATTTACATTACAAATCTAAGGTTTCTGAAATACTGATGCTTCCTAAGTAGTGTATTCGCTAAATATTTGTCATAATGTTCTACTAACTCCCTAACCATGAAATTAGAATGTTTTCCAGGGGGAAAAAAAATGCTTTGAAGGCACCATGTGAGACCCACTCTCTATTTGTGTGTCGTGTTGAAAATCGCTGGTTCCTCTTAGCATTGTTCTTTTTAATGTGTTGTGAACAGGTGAAGTCGTGCATACAAGTATTTCTGTGCGTGACAATATAATTAATTGAGTCACTTTCAAAGAGAAAATAGCACAAACATAAATTATAAGCAACAACTAAAAATGGTCAAGCTTTTTACATATCTTAAACATCAGTAAGTAACAATTTAGTAACTGCAATCAAATGCTGATTGCTCCATAGAGACAAGAGACAACTGCAATTAAGAGCTTTAGCCTTTGTCCCACTGATCGATATAAAATTGAATACCTGATTGTGCTTCAGATCCACATATATGAAACACAATTATGTATACACTTGGTACCTCCCCCAGTTAAGTTTGTTTGCCTTTCGCCATAAAAAATATAAGAAAAGGAATGGTGGAAGATGATAACTTCACAAGTTCCAACTTGACTTAAGACCTGCGTCAAGAGGTACCAAATACATTGTAAATAAACAGAGAAAAGGAATATAAAATCAAGATGAGACTTGAAATAATAGTCGATCGCATATAGTTGAGGAGAGAGGATATAGGTTGGTCGAAAATGATTTACACAGTCACTACTCATCAAAGTAATCAAAACAAATAACCTAAAAAACTGATGATAAAACAAATAACAGGAGAGTGGAAGACTTGCCTCAAGGAAATTAAATAGTAACTGTTTGCTGAGAATCAGACCATAACATTAGTGTTGCTAAAAGTGCCACCGTTGCAGTTTCAACACGGAGGCGGTGTGGCCCAAGGCCTACCGTGGTGGCACCTGCTCCTATTATCATGTTCAACTCCTTCTCTGTGAAGTCTAAAGCAGTGGCAATAAGTCAATTTATCTAAAAGCAAATAAATATAAGCAAAAGTTAAAATGGATACGAAACTAAGCCACATCTTATACAGCCATAGATGTTTTAAAACACTTCACATCATCTCAGGCATACCGAGTACGTTTCATACCCAATAAAACACTACACAAGTACAAGAAAATATGAGGTATACTAACCCCCTTCTGGTCCAACTATGATTAGTCCTTTGGACTGTGGTCTCAATGAGGTCAATGCATTGACAAGCGGAGCAGCTTCTGCTACCGCAACAAAGGATATCTTTGACTGGGAAACCTACATAACAAAATCATAACATGTTTAAGCAAGCATGAAATAGTAAGAGAGAGGAAGAGATCAAATAGACCTTTTATGCACCAAAGGAACCAGATACCAAAAGAATACGTAATCTTGAGCTTATATGTACGATTAATTGCTAATTTATGCAGATGGACCAACACCAACAAAATGATGAAGATGAGAATTATATAACAAAGAATGGAGCAAGAACTCACAGAAGGTATAAGGTCATTAATTTTCATAGGAGGATTCAAAATCATCTCATGCAGCCGTTGACCTGTCAAAGACCTAATATAAAATAGGGGGAGGAAAGAGGCTTAAAAAATAATTGAACAGTATGTTTACAGTTGACATTTACATTGTTTTGTGGCTGCCAAAACAACACGCTCCAATCGGTCCACTCGATTTTCCGAGATAGAAGGAGAACGCTCTGTCAGCAGAGGAGTTACACTGCTAGCACCCAGCTCCTAATACAACGAACAGAAAAGAGTTGGAATACATACACTAGCAAAATAATGGTATCAGCATTCAGCACCCACATTTTAGGCATACCGTGCATTTCTCAACGAGCCAGGCAGCTCGACCACCCTTCAGAGTACCTACACAGATACAACGAGCCGGTCAGTTTATAATGTGTGAGCATGGTCATCCATGCAAGATATACAAATTTATAAACTAATTCTACTAAAGTGACCAAAAACATACCAAAGGCTGCAAATACATGCCACTGTGTGCTCTGTGGAAGAAGGAATTGCAGATCTTCTAACGCTACAAAATCAATCCCGGTGCGGTCAAGCCTGCCAATGCACCCCTCTACGAGACCTCCTTTTCCGTTGAAAAGCTCTACCCTTGCACACGTTATGTGGATATCATAAGTACTTAATTGATATTAAAATAAATGTTTACATTTGTCAAAACAATATTGCAGTGAGATTTATTTGTGTGAATGACGTCCAATTTCACATACGTTTCCAAAGGGAATAAAGCTGAAATCCTAAGTTCCATATTTAGGCACAAGATTATGACTTTACCATTAAAAAAAAAGTCCCCTTTTCCTGATAAACTGATGCTAGCCTAGCCTGTAAGTTTTTTGTTAAAAGATACAAAGTTCACAAATTACAAGAGTACTCCCGCCAAGTAACATAAAGCTAAAATTTAAGGAGTAAGGGTTAATGGTACCTATCATTGAGGCCCAATCTTAAAACTTTAGTCATGTGCCAGAATTCATCGCCTTGAACGCGAACAACGCTACCCTGCATTTTGAAGGAAAGGAGAACAACAAGATTTCGTGTTTTTGTTCCATCAAAAGTATCAACTTTTTCCAAAGTTTTCATTTTTACTACGAATAATCGGCTTTAGGATTATGTACAGTAAGAATGAAAGCCTTCACACAAATTTTCTCGAAAGCAAAGAAACGACATTTCAGCCCCCAATTTTACTTTTGTCTTTTTTCAGTCATTTCTGTTTCCTCCACTTTCTCGGAAAACAAACACGAAAATACACCTGAGAGAGAGAGAGAGAGAGAGGGAGTACCTTAGTAGTGGGGAGAACTTCAGAGAAAAAGCGAGGGAGACCGCCACGGTACTGGTTCGAGTTAGCTGAGGAAGAAGATGAAGATGAAGATGAGAATGCTCGGAAACTCAAGGTCTTGAACCATGGAGGGTTCCTTAACCCGGAAAATTGAGGTTTTGCTGAGGCCAGCATTTGCATCCCAGAATTCACAACAGGACGCTTTGAATTGAAGCTGAATACTATTGTACTATAGTCTATAAGAATTCAAATGAGACCACTTCCCAGTTCTGTTTTGTGTTTGGATCCTAAGGAAATTGTCCGGGATGTGCTTTCTCTCATGATAAAAGGGCAAACCCAGGCACGACGTGGTTTTCCATATAACGACATTAATTCACCCCAGGAAACGACAATGACCTCCATAAATTATGATTGAAGAAAAAAACTCTGCCAATTATCCACATTTTCAAACTCTGATACCAATTACCAACATTTTCAAACCAGACAACGATATTGATCGAGAACCAAACCAATGAGAAAACGACAAGATCCAAAAACGACAACAAACCAAGAAACGACGTAATGATTTTGGAAAACTTTTGTTTGGAAATCTAAAAATTAGAATAGGATTAAAATAAGATTACCATCATCTTCTTTTTCTTCTTCATTCTTTTTTTTTTCCTTTTTAATTCCTTCGTTAAAAATTATTTAGCTCTGTTGTAATTTCATTATTTTCTTCTTCAGATAATAGAAGTTTCCAAGCTCTGTAATTGTATCTCCACTCATCTAAGATCCGCAAAAATTAACGAAACAACTATACAAAAAAGATCTTAACTTTACATTACTTGATTAACCTTCAGCTTGTAAAACTCTGATTACAAAACTAAACCAAAAAACCCTTTCTTTTTCCCCCTTCTGACTTCTCCCAATCAAAAACAGAGGGAAGACAAAAAACAAAAAAGATTTTCAAAACTAATCCTCTCCATCGTCACCATCAACAACCTCCTTACCATCTCCTTCAAAGCCACCACCTAACTCACAGATCCTCTCCCAAACATCCCTCGGAACCGGCACGACGGACAACCTCGGCTGCCGAAGTAGAGCGAAGCCCTTCAGCCCTTGATCCCCCTTCATCTCGGTCAGATCCACGGCCTTCCGCATCTCCCCGACCGCCTTCACGTCCACCACCACGGCATCCCCTCCCTCCGAGTACCACTCGCGCGTGACCTCCACGACCCCGACTACGCGGCGGGCCCTAGCACCGGAGTGGTAGAAGAAGCAGAGGTCGCCGAGGCTCATCGACTTGAGGTTCTTCTGCGCCTGCTTGTTCTTCACGCCGTCCCACTTGCTGAGCCCTCCGTTCGCCGCTTGGTCCTCCCACGACCACTCCCCTGCCTCCGTCTTCAGAAGCCAGTACTGTTTCTCTTTCCCCATTGATGGCGATTCTTCTCTCTGAGTCCGATCCACTTTTCTTTTTTTGATTTCCTTTTCTTTTCCCATCATTAATGGTGATTCTTTTCCTTTGATTTTTTTTCTCTGTGTTTAATATGGTGGCGGGAGAATGTGGATGTTGGCGCCCAGTGGTCATTGGACCGAGTATGATGGGCCTGTAAGCCTTATACGGCCCATGTCTGGGGATTTGGGCCTCGGTGGACCAAATGCCGCCCGTTAACGCCGCCATGTTTGGGTTTATAGATCAACCAAGGCCCGTTAATTTTGTCAATTCGAGTTTTGCTACAGTAAAAAGTTCTCAGAATCAGCCACATCTAATTTTTTTACTACAGTATAAAGCTCTCATATAAAGTCACATCTTAACTCAAATTAAAAACTCAAATCAGCGAACTGAATGAGCCTTAAGAAGTGAGAATCCGATCGCCAAAGAGGCAGGTGAGGCTGAGGGGGCATATGCCCCCCTGAATTTTTGGTTTTTAAAATTTTACCCCATAAATTCTCAAATTTTTTTATATATGTCCCCCTTTTATTGATAAAAATTTCAAAATATCTCCATTAAATCCAATCTAAATATTATTTTTAAACTAGTTGGTTTTTTAAATTGTTTTTTGGTTCTTATTACATTCCATACTTCTTACTTCTTAGTATACCTAATAGAATTATTTTTCTCTAATTTACTCCGGTTAAATTTTTTTTTTCAAATTTATCTCTTCTCAAATATTATTTCATGTGATCTTTATTATATCAAAAGTGAACTTCACGAGAAAAATTTAAATGATCTTTCTCAAATATGTCCCTAAGCCATTTTTTAGGTAACACTCCATTATTATTTTCTTTTAAACATAGTTTCTCTATCAAGCGCATAAAGCATGTTAATTATGTTATGCATAGTTAAGCGTAAAAGTAGTGCAACCATTATAGTGCTAAGACTTTATAAAACATAATATGCATATGTTTAAAATGTGCTCTAACTAGCTAATAGTATTAGCAATGATAAATTCTTCACATTTTTAGTCTATACCCCTCCTAAAATATAATCCCCACTCCGCCACTTAATCCGATGGATTGACTTTGTCTTGTTTATAATTCTCTTTTATGTATTGATTGATCAATGATCGCTGACTCAAATGTTTAGGAATATATCTGAGAGAGAGAGAGAGAGAGAGAGAGAGAGAGAGAGAGAGCAAATCAACTATTGGCAAAGAGGTACGTTCCTCCTGCGATGAATAATTAATAATGAAAAAACAAATAATAAATAATGAAAAAGCAACACACAACAAACAACAAGATTCTCATCTCCCAACCCACGAATAAGAAACATGACAAGAAAACAAACCAAACTTAATTAATTAAAAAGTTTTTCAATAACCATTTTGGACGTGATGATCGTTAGAAACTGGATAATCATTAGGTGTTGAGTAATGAGCATTCGGGGTGTAGATGAGATTTCCAACGGTGTAATAAGCCTTGCCTTCTTCATTGCGAAGCAAAGAAAGATGTACGCCATTACCCGCACTATAGGCAGGCACATTACAGGTCTGTGATGGAGAATATTTAGGATATGCTTTGCATTCTTTGAGATTGATGTGCTCATCAGCACTTGGCAAAGTTTCACGGAAGCAACCCTTTTCGTCTGTTTTAGGACGCAAAACAGTATTGTATGGAGCTTTGTTGTATCCATTCTCGTACGAACTTGGGCATGTAATCTCTACTTCAGCTCCTGTCGTGGTAATCGAATGCGTGGGAAAAAAAAAGAAACGAACAAAAGGTTATTACCAATCTTAGGAAATAAATTGTAGATTTTGATGAACATGAACATATTTACCTTGAAGAGGATAGTATTTATTAGTCTCTGATTCACATAGAACGAACCCTTGAATGACAATGAGATTGTTATGGGAGTATATTCCTTCATGAGCTTGATCATAAGTCTTCTGCTCATGATCATAGTATGATTTGGTAGGGACAATGTTTCCCTCTCCTTGATATGGCTTAGTTGTCTTGTAGTTTGAATCTGTTGGGACAAAATTTTCTTGAACTAACTGCTGCTTGTGGTGACCATTTTGATCTTGTTCATTGCCGAGTAAATTGCCAAGAAGGTTATCACCATCCAAGTTATTTAGAGTAGAGCTTAATAGATCATTACTGTCATGATGTTGATCATCATGACCGTGATCAGTAAGCTGTTGTTGATGATTATCAACATGATCTGAATTCTGGGTATAAGGGACATATTCAGCTGAAGCAATGACGATTAGCAGTGACAAGAGGGTTAAAGGGATTAGGACGCGGGTGAGAGCCATTATAAGTGTGATATTTGTGTATTTGTATATGCTACGGAGAGGCTATGGCTTGATGAATTGGAGGTGGTTGCACCTCAGTCTTATATAAGAATGACATGATATTATGTTACTCATGAAATTTCATATTAAATGTGTATTGTGGCAAAGATTACCTGGTTGCACGATGGTGAAGATCATCGATCGAGGTGGGCTTGATTGTGTTATCCTAAGAAGATCTGCAAATCTTCAATAATATATAAATTTGCAAAGTTATATATTGCAGGCCTTAATTATGCAAGAATTCTATCCTGGCCATCTTTCTTAAATTATGTTTTCTTAGTTTGGTACGTGAAAGGCATTTTTCTTCGATTTGGAAGATTAAAAGTTCTATTTTGGATTTCGCATAGCATGAGTTGGGGGTGGGGACAATCCTACGTGCTCTCATATCCCATTCAATTATTTGGTAGAAGAAAGTCCTTTTTTTTTAAAGCAAAAGAGTTGGACAAGCTCTCATCCCACACCAAACTCCACCCAATTCATTAAATAAAACAGAGAACAGAATATTTGTATAAAAATAAAAGGTAAATTAATTAGCTGAAGGAAATAGGAATAAAGTTTACTAGTGAAGAAGATGATTTAGGGAAGCAATGGAGAAAATACTCAGTTTCTCTTAGTAACTTTATTGATGAAAGAATATATATAGGTAAGGTCTCCGGTCAGTAGTTGTATATTTTTATATAAATCGTGTATATTTATATGTAAATCGTGTATATTTACATGTAATTCATGTATATTTACATGAAATACAATAAATTAGCCAATATACATATTTTTATGCTATGTGTTCACTAATTGTTATAAAAAATACATGTTTTGAGGATTAATATATATTGTCGTTTCTTATAACTTAACATACACGACTTTACATGTAAATATACACGACTTACACGTAAATATACATAATTTATACATAATTATACAACTGTCGTTCCGGTCAGGCACTTTCTAAGTGCCTGACCGGAGACAATTTATATATATATATATTTATATCGGAATAAGAAGAGTGCATGGTTAATATCTCACAAAAGCAAAAACTACGTGCATAAAATTAGGAAAAAATTGGCGAAAGAGCAATGTGTCCCAGTTTCGCAGATCTTGAACAAAACCCACCACTAACCATAAATCACAATTGCCACAAGACTATTTTTCGCAACTTGAATTCTTTATTTTCTTCTAAAAAATAAAAGCATAGGCACGGTTTTTTTTTCCCCCCCTGAAATCATTAGTCACAACTTTCCTACTTTATCATCAATCTCCCACGAAGTGATCCAAGAGTCCAAGGCCATTATTTACATCTAAATTGAATACTTCTAAGTTACCTCTTTTTTTTTTTTTTTTTTTAGAGTTTTTATGTGCTAGTTTGTTTTTCTTTTTGTTAAAGGAATAATACCGTTAAAAAATTTTGCTTTTTCCAAAGTCTAATACTGACATTTTACATATTAGAAAAAAAATAAAAATAAAAATTATCCGAACATTAGCTTCTGTATCTTTTCTGCATTTCTCTCTGTCTTATGCATTACTACAGGCGCACAATCAAGTAGATTATAAAGTGAACGAATAATCAAATTATTTAGCAGGTTCCATTACATTTTAAATACTACGAGTTGTCGTTTAGATTAGTATTTATATTCGAATGATTCCAATCAGGAATCAAAAGAATCCTAGCTCCAGTTTTATCACTCAAAATTGTTAAGATAATGAATAAAATAAACTCAGAAAGGGTTATAAACTTAACATAAAACTCCCAGAAAACATAAACGAAAAGGAAAAATAAATTGGTTGAAGGTACCAAGTTAGACGATGCATCATTGAAACATTCAAATATGAAAATTAAAAATTAAAAAAAAATCATCTGAGAGAGAAAGTATATATGACCCAAAAGCAAGAATTGAACATGCACAATTTATTGTTTTTTAAAATGAACATGTTTCTTAATAAAAGAAATTTTGTTTTGGAAAAACATACATGCGCTGTTTACAGTCCATGTCGTATTTACTTCTGAAAACTCCACAAGTTTTTGTGTTACAACTTAGAAAAGATGGCATGACTATCAGCGTTTGAACTTTGAAGCAATGGTGTTGTTTCGGTTTTGACTCGGTTCCTCTTTTTTTTTTTTTTTTTTTTTTAACTTGACGCATGCTTGTTACTATAGCTAAATGTAGCTTTCTTTATTCGATTAATAACTGTAGCAACAACTCAATGTCGTTTATCTTAGGTTTTACTTTGGGACGATAAAGAACATGCAATTTCTGCAATATTGGAACAATCATATGTAGTATCACTTCGAACTAGCTTATTCTTAGGACATCCCACGTCATGTTTTCCTCGACGGTAAACAACATGCCGTTTTTGCTTTTGAAATTTAAACAATACGTGGTTAATTTGTTAAACTTTAAAGGGCTGTTTATTTCGCTGATTTGAGTTTTTAATTCGAGTTGAGATGTGACTTTATGTGAGAATTTTTTACTGTAGTAAAAAAATTAGATGTGACTGTTTTTTAGAGTTTTTTACTGTAGCAAAACTCGAATTTTAAATTCAAATCGGTGAAATGAACGGGGCCTAATTCTCTTCTTTACTGTGAGAACTGCATCTCTTTTTTTTTATACATTTTTAAATATTACCATGCTTTTTAATGCAGCGTACAATATCTCTTTTAATTAAGTCCGTGTGATCAACATTAAAATTGACATTACATATATCATTAAGGACAACAAAATCA